TTGCCAAATTGGATGAATAAAAGTGTCCCGGAAACCAGTGTAGAAGGAGCAATACAACAGAACATGGCCAACCGTCTCCACCACACCAGCCTCACAAGGACATAAGCGCTCTTCATAGGGAATATTCTTGCATCTGCCTTCCAGCAGGGCTGAAGGAAGTGCATTAAACTTTGCTAGTGTAAAAGCTTTTCTATGCTTTGGAAGGGTCAGAGTATTCAGATAGCTTGCAGGTCAAAACGCCTGACCATCGTCTCTAAAGCCAGGATGGGCCGTAGCTATGCTGGCATGGTGTTGCAGCTCCTTGTCTGTGATGCGCTGGGGTCATTCCTCTTTTGCTTTGGACTCTAGCTCATTAACAAAATAGCACTTCTCAAGAGGCCCAAATTATTTAATTTCTCATCCATAGATTTTTCCCATCCGGACTGAAACTCTGGTGCAGTTAAAATCTCATGGGGTATTTCTAAATTGCTATTGAATATAGACTCAGGTCATATATGATCTCAGTCACATCCAGTTGTGAGAGGCTAGGAGAGTTAGTTTTGGCCATGGCTTTGTCAGTAGGTATTATTTTGTCCCCAAAAATAAATGGTACCTTAATCCTCTAGATATGCACATGTTAGGTCTTGGCAGTCTTGTAAAATTAAATCCTGTTGTGGTTTAAGTGACATACTTACAGATGTACAGTATTTGACGGTTGGTTGAATTTGGTTAAGATCATTTGAATGTACAGTACCTAATGAAACATCCAAAGTGGGTTGCTTGGTAGTTGATCCTCTTGAAAGTGTGTTGGGCTGGCAATTATTAGAAGGTGAATGGTTGTAAACGGAACTACAGTATTTCCTTTATTTAAAAGGGGGCAGATCTTTCCCTTTTTCTGCTTCTCTATGGTTCCTTGGCTGTTTCTTCCTGCAAAGATCCATCCGTCATTGCCATGTCATTATCAGAACCTTGGAGGTATCTTTGAAGACCGATATTCTGCTAATTATTATATCCTGAGTCTGGTATGATAGTGCCGTAAAAAAGGATTTTAGTAATTCCTTCTCTTCTACATACTTAAAAGATATCTGTGTCTTTTGATAGATATGCTGATTGTTGCTTCCCATGTTGATGCATGCCATGTTCGGGGAGCTGACCCTCTTCAAAATTAATAGGATTGGAGAGACCAGTACATTTTGATTGCATTTTTAAATTTTTATGTAATAGGCATGTTTATGCAATGTTCTCAAAGAATCTCGTCATAACCAAACCTGCCCTCAAGAGTTCATTCTTATGACCATAGACAGCCTCCGTGATCTGCCAGTTCCTAAATGTCACCACTGCACGCATGGTGAAATAGTCTGGAGACAAATATTCTATGTGCATTATATCCTTTATGGTGATCTCTGGAACGACTGGGTGTAACTGCTGCAAAAGATGGATTTTACTTTTAAGCCGAGAGAGTCTACCTAATTTAGGCTTTGAAAAAGTTTTTAAAAGCCAGCTTTTTCCTGATTCAGAATCATTTCCCATTGTGGTGCTACTGCTAGTTTGCTTCCCTCTTGGTTAGAACTGGACCTCTCCATTGGTTCCTCATGCCGTGAGTCTTTTGCAACATCTCCCTTAATTATTGATTTACTTGGCCCGTTTGTGGACACAATTGGTTATTGGATGATACAGGACAAGCCTGATCAGGCTGATGTATATCGTGCTTAGGGTCTCCGCATGGAGATGATAATGAATATTGTGTACAGTTGTCCAGGAGTCTAAAAAAATCTTGGGAAGTTCATTTTCTTGGAATTCCCCAGAGGCTGGGTCTGTTGTTGTTGTTTTTTTTCCATTTTTAGAAATATTTTTACTGTTCTTGCCAACTCATTGCTGGTGCTTCTTAAAACTCTTTCCCTTACTACAGTCGATCTTTTCGTGACTCACTTTATCGTGATTCTCATATTCCATAGTTTCATTTTTTATTTGTACAGTGTAGTCCTCCATTCCTCAAACCATATCTCAGCCATTGTGCTTAGCAGCCCGTGGCACCCTGGCAGGAATTGTTTGATTGCCTCCAATTCCTTGGATATTAAACTAATACTTTTCATAAACAATTTTTCTGAGATGGGGCTGAAGGCAACCTTTGTTCTCTCATTAAATTCATCATCTCCCACCGCCCTACAGTTAGACCGTGTGTCTTGGTTCTTCCACGTATCTGGCAATTCAATATTAGCATCTTGGAGGGATTATAATTCCACCTCCTGCCCCATCTCCTCTTCTATAGTTACAGAAGTATAGCTTATATCATTTCCAAGAGTTGTATATTCCAGGCTTTCAGCTTGAGCAATTTCCATTGCTAAGTTTAATGCTCTCTCATTGATTTGCATTTCCAGTTTGCCCCAAGAGTAATCTACTGACCCATCCAGATTGTTGGTATAACTGGTAGGTACATCAGGATTATCTAAGGAATCAAGATCCACAATGGATTTTCCTTTCCCCCTTTTTGTTCTTAAAGGGAAGAAGGCTGAACTTTTTCTGTCTTTTCCTCTGTGGTCATTCAAGCACTTTGGGGGGGGGGGGGGGGGGGGTTGGCGCCAACAGGACACC